GCCCCTTTCGACCAGCACACTTTAGTGAAAGTGTGACTTAATTAATTAGTTACTCGATCGGTAATCAAATACGAGGCATACCGTGTTTGCAAACGACGTCATTAATGATGGCAGTATAAACCTTCTCTGTTGTTAGATTTTTTAAAAAGGGTAACTATTAAAAATTTAGTCATAGCGCATATACTTTGTTAATATGTAACGATAATCACCTGTGCTAACAGGAAGGATTCCCACAATATCGTTACGCACGCGATCAAACAGAAAATTAGGATTAGAGTGGATCGGACTAGAGCACCAGTGGCCTTTCTACTGACTTTTTTGCATGCCATGGGACGCAATTACAGCCGTATCGCAGCAGCCTGACGTGCCAAATCGGAGGCGTCGGCGGACGCAATTGCAGCCGTACCGCAGCTCTCTGCAGCAGCCCCACGTGCCAAACCAGAGACGCCGGCAGGCGCAATCGCAGCCATACCGCAGCTCTCTGCTGCAGCCACACGTGTCGAATCAGAGGCGCCGGCGGGCACAACCGCAGCCGTACCGCAGCTCTCTGCTGTAAACGCGGTGCAGCTGCGTTGCACTACCGGCGTTCTATTTGAATTTGATGAAGCATGTAAAATAAACAGTGCATTAATGGGCAGCTTACTACGTGCTCATAATGTGTGTCACATGGAGTGAAAAGCGAGCAGTGAATGTGAAATACACGTGCTTGTTGCTGAAAATTGACAGGACTATCCTCTGAACGGGGGAAGGAACTCTCGTAATCGATGTTTCTGGGGTTTCTCGCAAGCAATATGAGCTGAGCGGTTAGCTCAGCTTTCATCTCTTCTGCGAAGTAAAAATTTTGTTTGTGAATTCCGTCTTGGCCTTCCTTAGTCCCTTCCATTGATTTCGCGTCGGCGCCACACCCCTCAGACAGTCTTCTTATTCTTCTTGTATTAAATAGGTTGCTCCATTCTGCTTCGCTTCAGATTTCTACTAGTCAATGAGTCAGTTATTCAGATTTCGCAATAATGAAAGGCGCTGAGCGTGTTCAGTCCAGTGGCTCCCCATCAATAAACCAATCATTCAGATTTCGAAATAGTGAACAGTATTGAGGGCAGAGTGGCGCGCTGCAGCTACAGCGGGGTTTAACGAAGCTAGCGAACTC